CACAGACCGGTGCCATAAGGATGACATCAGGTGCTTGTTCCCTGATGATCTCCATAACCACGTGTCGTCCCTTGGATGTCATTACATCGAATCCTGTGCGGATGTCCACGGGAGTCCCAACCTTAAGACCTGACAGTGCACAGCATTGACTGAATCTGGCACTTCCTGCAAAGATCTCGAGAACGTGGATCTTTCCCTTACGTACACAGTTCCAATGTGCTTGTTCAGGAATGGATGTGAGGTCCTCGACGAACATGTTCTCTGCTGGATGAGGTACTGCAGGTTTTGGAGTTGTTTTTCCCGCGATACGTACTGGCACTGAGGATCTTGGCTTAGGAGCTGGTGCGGATAATTCCTTTTTCTTGGTATCTACAGAGGAGCCTGGTTGCTCCTTCTGCAAGGATTCTCGCTCTTCAGGTAACAGAAGGTCAATTCCGGGTTTCCCCTGGAGGGATAGTCTCATCCTTCCTGAGCTTCGTCATGCTAGCCTTGATGAGTCGAGTCCCAAGATCAAGTCCTACCATTGCTCCTTCAATGGAAATGACTTTTCCTTTTAGCCATATTCCTCCCTTGCTTCCATCGGAACGAATCTTGGATTTGCCTTCCTGCCAGTAAAATACCTTGTCCTTCACCTGAAGAGGCTTTGAACTCATTCGGAGATTTTGAGCAAGGTCTCGTCGGATGTCCTCGGATTGACGTGCTTCTTGGAAAGCTTGCTTTGACAGCTGCTTGATCTGGATGGCTGTCATCTCTTCTTCATTCCTGTCAATCGTCAACTGAGTTGGAGTTGCGACATCGAGTTGGATGAGATCTGCTGGTCGTCTTCCGAATGCGAGCTCCAATGGAGTTACTCCCCCGTAGGTGACGGTCTGATTCCTGACAGTTGCAGCGGCCTTCACCAGTTGCCTATAGGTCACTTTCGTCAGTGTTGCAGGTGCAGTGCCTGCTTTGATGGAACTCAGCATGATCTTGAGTTGCGCCTTCAGGAGTCGAACTGCTGCTTCAGCTCGGTTTGGCCATGGTGTATTTGGTCCCAGAGATATCGGAGTGATGTCAAGGGACTGATAGAAATGTTCCCATGTATCTGTCATGAAGGCTTGATCTGCGACAACTGATTTGGGCTGCAAGTGGTATTGGTCAAAATAGTTCCTGAGGACAGTGATGTTCTCGACTTCTTGCGTAGTTGTCACTGCCTCTGCAGTGAGCAATGTTGTTGCTCCATCCAGGATGACAAAAACAATGATGTGTTCTCCAGTTCCAAGAGGAACTTGACAGTGATCAATGAATGTCGTTTCACCAAAGGGGTCCGCTCGAAGTCCGCTTGTCTTGCTTCGTGATGGTGCATGTTTCGCCACTTGGCAAACTTCACACTCACTTCGGATCTTGTCAAACAGATCGAATGTTGATTTCGGCAAATGAAGTGCTCGGGTTCTAAATCGAAATTGATCTGTTGTCATGTGATGATGCTGCAGGTGGAGTTTCTTCAACTCTTCTGGATTCGACAATCGCTTGTGGATTCTGCCTAGGGCAAGCGGAAGCGATGTGGGTTCTTCTGAGGATGGTGCGAAAGGATCTGGCTCAATAGTCGACTGGCCCCTCTTGTCGATGATCCTGTCTGCTGCCGATCCTGAACCTGCTTCTATGTCCTTCAGCGAATTGTCCGAGAAGGTGAAAATGGTCTTACCTATCCACAGGTTAATCATCGGTCTATTTGCCTGGGATGTAAGTCTCCAATTGTCTTCCAAGATGTCTGGATCTCCGCCTGCGGATGCATCAATGATTTCCGTGGTACGTTCTCGGCTGATGTGATCAGGATTGATTGGACATTCCTTGGCTCCATTTGGTGTGAACAGCGCCTTTCGGGGCGTGATGTGCACACGGATGAGCTGCTTGTTCTTCTTGTCAAGGATCCAATGGTCCTGCTTTTGAGACCCGATGATCTTAGGAGTTGCTAGGTCCTCCTTTGTCTCGGATGATTTTGCTGCACAAACAGTTTCGCTCCTGGTAAGATCCCCGGAGGGAAATTTGATGCTGTTATCATCGTCATAGACATAGTTGGTGAGGCCCTTGTGAGCAATTTTTTCTCCATGTGCCTTCACTCTTGCAACTCCAGCGAGATCGACGAGTGCATGTCCTGTACCGGATACTGGAACTGCTTGACGGTTCATGCCAAAGGCCTTGCATGTGATCTTGTCACATTGAGGTGTGTGCTCGATGGTCATGTAGAGGTTCCGCATCTGGCTGATGCTGAGAAGGATCGGTACAGTTCCTTGTTCAAGGATGTCGATGTTCGTACTGCATGGAGGAGTTGTGTGATATCGAAGATGCAGGGTCCAATTTACCCTGGCGGTCTCTCCGTTTGCAAAAGTGAACTTGGTCTCGGCCGGGATGTACTCATAGGAGATGATGTCCTTCATTGGTTCGATTGCCTGGGTAAAACGCTGGATTGCATGCCAGCTGCCCATAGATCTGGTACATCCGTTGTCCAGAATCGCATAGGTCGGGTTGTGCTGAGGGTTGATGACAGGCGCCATCAGCTTTGTTGCCAAAAGGCTGTGATTTGTTGTGACGGACAGATTGTGTTCTGAAACTGCATCTGATTGGATCAGCTTCTCGTGGATGGCCTTTTTCCCAGGATACTCATATGCATCATGGAATGCCATTAACGCTTGTCCTGTGCTGGATGTCTCATGGGATGAGTACCAGCCATGTTCGTTCCATGTCCATGATTGATCCCAATCTTGGTCTGTCCAACCGGCATAGGCAGGCTCTATGGATGGTGCAGTCTGCTGGATGGCGGGCTGCTCCTCCGTCTTCTCTGCGGTGGCTGCGAACGTCTTGGATTTTCCTTTTTCCTGTCCGCTCTTTCCTTTGCCCCTCTCATAGGATGGATAACCTTTGTTTCCATCATAGGGATATTGGAATTTTGATTTTCCTTTCTTTCCCTTCTTTCCTTTGCCTTTTCCCCAATATGCCTGGTCGTAGGGATCATAGTTTTCGTTGGCCATATTGGCCTTTCCGCCAGAACCGCTTTTTCTGAAGGGTTTGAAGCCACCTCGTTGGGGACTGCCCTTCTTGTTTCCTGATTTTCCTTTTCCTTTCTTTTCTTGAACTTGAAGTTCCGCCCCGACACTTTTCTTGCTATAAACGCATCGTTCTCCTCGAGGACCCAGAACGTCTCTTCATCGTTGTTTGACATGAATCCTTCAAGTCCTTAACTAAAAAATTCAACCCAGAAGCCTTCTTCTCCTTCATGTTCACCTTGTTCGAGGATGAAGAATGTGTTGCTTCGGCTGCCTCCTTGAGGTCGGATGGATGGATCTTGGATCGATGTCCTCGTTGTAATGAAGAGTTCATGGTAGTGTGTCTTCAGCATCTCATAGGAATAATTCTCGAGTGAGATGTTCCTCAATGACATTGCACTTGTGAGTCGTTCTCTTTGATGATCTGACAACTCACTTTGTATAATGAAAAACTGTGCAATGAGATTATCCCCGAAGGGAAATGCGTCCCGCTGTCTGTCCTGCATTCCTTGGATATATTGTCTGAGGACTGTAGGATCGTCCTCATTGAGCAGGGCTGGAGGCGGTGCTCGAGCACCGGCTGCTTGCTGATGTCGAGCAATTGTTCTTGCATTTGCGTCCTGTACGGACTGTCGAAATGATGGAGACTGTGCCGTAAAGATTGGCATCAAGTCCATCCATGCTGCCTTCAATCTCATGAGAAGGATTTCGAATTTTGAGGTAAAAATGAGGAACTCTTGGTTCTGCCTTCTGTGGTTGAAGAAACTGAGGAGTCTGTACAAATACACGTTGGTCGCACCTTTCAAAAAGTACTTCTTCAGCGTGTTCTTGAAATAGTTGACTCCTTCATCAGGATCTTGCAAAAAGTCATTTTGGAGGACGGCCTTGTACATGTAAGCATCTCCAGTGAGTCTGCTCTTAAGCAATGGACCTCGCTTGGCTGCTTCTACTGTGGTGATTGTCACCCAGTCGTCCACGAGTTCTTCATACCTGAACCAGCTGACTTTTCCGTCGTACGATGGCCTCCGTGTGGCTCGGCTTGGCCGAACTTGTGTAGCCATCTGATGACATCTTCCCTTGGATCTGCGGAAAACCCGCTCCGCTACCACAAATTGAGGCCCACTGCCCCAGGTGCCTATCCCCGGAGGGAACTGGAACCCTGTGGTAGTTGAGGTCGTTGTTGGTCCCTGGATCTATTCCGGAGAGAGTCCAATATGCCAGTAATGGATGATTGGAGGATGGATTGTCCCTGGTGGATTGTCTTGTGGATAATCCTGTAAGCGGCCTGCAATGGCTCTTTTGTCCTCACGCTCGGATGGTCGTGATTCTGCAAAAGGGGGCCTTGAGCCAAATGGAAAACAGAACACAGGGGGGGGGCAGAGCGGGGGCGGGGGAAGGGTGGGGGGTTGCGGGGGGGGTGGTCTGAAACAGGAAGTGTTCGAGCCAGTTCTTTCTTTGGAGCCTCTCAAAGTGGGGGATCGTTTCAAGGGAACTTTCGGGCCAATCCAATGACCCCTGTTAAACCAAAAGGCGAACTGATCCATTACCCCACTATGGCATTCGACTCAAGTCAATGTTTGTTTGGAAGGAGTTCACTCTAACGAAAGCATGTCTCTCTCCCTCTCTCTCTTGTTTCTCTCTCTCTCTCTCTCTCTCTCTTTGTCTCTCTCTCTTTCTCTCTCTTTCTCTCTTTCTCTCTTGTCTTCTTCTGTGGGCAATCGCTCAAGACTGCCTGTTGTCATTTTCGGCCCGGAAACAAAAGGGGTCGATTTCCCTGCCCAATTGTGCTTTAGGTCAGGGGCATTCCTGCCCAAGAACCTGCAGTCTTAGAATGTGGGAACCTCCAAAGTGTGTTGTTGTGGGTGTCATTTTTTGAGGGTATCTTTTTGTTGGGGGTTTTAACCCAGAAAAGGGGGAGAAAAAAAAAACAAGGAACACCAGGGGCTGGCGGGGGAACCAACCACGCCACAACTTCAGGGCTTCCTGGACCTCGAGAACTTTTCTCGGCGCGTGGGCGACTGCACGGTGCTCCCGGCGCGCTGGGAGGGCAGCTTTTGGCATCACGACGTCACCCAGCCCGAGGCGGGAAGCCCATTTGGGAGGAGCCATATCCTATTTTGAGGAGCCATACCCATGGCTTTGTTCCAGCTTTTCACTCACCTCCACCAAACGACCCGCCCCACCCCATCCCCCATCCCCAGCCCAAGTCAGGTGCGCGAGGCGATGCTGCGGCGCGCGGAGCGATTCCTGGGCTCTTCTGAGGAGGGGGCGCCAAAGCGACCGCTTCGTTCCTGGCGATCTCTTTGGATCTTTCATCGGTCCTCCAGTAGTGCCCTTTGACCATTTTTTTTGTGGGAGGGTTCCCCTACTTAAATAGACTACAGAAAAAAAGGGTAGCCTTATTCTAACCTCTCTACTGAAGGACCTAGTCTTTGAACTGTTCGGTTGAACATATTTGGGTATGGGTCAAAAATACACCATCAGGGGACCAATGTACCAGGGTTCCAGTTTGGGTACCAATTTTGACCCACTGCCATCTGAGAATGTGTGTGTGGTGCGCGTGCATGTTTGCACTTATTGGATCAGATCCTCGTCATCTCTACCAACCATTGCGATGCGGGAGCAAAGAGGTAATAGGGGCAAGAATCCAACTGGCCCCGTTTAACATGTAGGTGGCCACAACTCCCTATAACAACAATCTGTTGAAACTCTGATTTCCATCGATCCGGCCTGAAAACCGCGTGAGTATGTGCAAAAAATCATGGGATCCCCCAAAAAAGTGTGTTGTTTTGTTGTTGGTTTCCCTGAAGTCCATCCCAACAAAGGGAACCTACTCAAAACCAGAGATGTCCCCCAAATACCAGTCGAAAGCAAAAAGAAAAGTGTGACCCCGAGGCCAACCTGGTGTTCCTGCGGGTGGTGAACGGCTCCTATGAGCTCTCCCAGCTGGGCCAGTTGTACCGCAGCCTGCAGCAGCGCTTCCCCAAGTCTCGGGTCAGATTGCTGGCCTTGGTGGACTTGCAGGCGGCCAAGTGTGTGGGGGAGGGTTCCCCTACTAAAATAGACTGCAGAAAAAAGTGGGTACCAACTTCTTCTAACCTTTCAAATCTGGAGGACCTAGTTTGTCTCCTGAAGTACTTCTCTGCAAGAATCACATGAGTCACAATCAAAGCCCGGGGATTGATGAAGGTTAAGGGACGATCCCAACCAGAAATAGCTGCGGATATCCGCCTTCTAAATTCTTTACATGGTATGCGGGTAGATCCCAGAAATAGCTGCGGATATCCGCCTTCGGACAATTCTTGAAGCTATTCGATCGTGGGATTACGACCAGTTGAATGGCCGTGTTTTGAGCAAGTGACTCAAATGGGGCCATGGGATCGGACGGTGGCCGAAACCTGAGTTCCTGGAGTTTATATATTAATAGTACTAACAATAATAATAGTACTAATAATAATAATATTAATAATAATAATAATAATAATAATAATAATAATAATAATAATAATAATAATAATAATAATTAATGATAAGAATAATAATATGTGTTTTGGCTTTATTCCTTTTGGCAAACAAAAGTTTGGACTATTTTCGGACGATCCACTCAGGAAGTGAGATGGAAAGGGGGCTGTACCCCGAATCAGGAACCTTTCCGACCATTGAGAAGATGATCAAAGCCATTGGCCGTTAAAGCAATGACGTGGACATACGTTTTTTTTTTTTTTTTAAGTGTCCTTTGCGTACCTTTTCCAGCGGCCGATATTTCTTGTGGCAATCGGGTCGAATGGGAGCACCCTTTTCACAATCATCCGCTATTGCTGGTTGGAGCCGAGTCCAAGGTGGGTCTTGGTTGGAGGGAACCCTCCCTGGCACGGGCGAGTTTTTGGCATGGTGGCTCACCGTTTAGCTTGTAACTTGCCACACAGTGGGAGTCAGTCGTCAGGGAACGGTGTAGGCTGGACATTGACCTTTGTTTCTTTGTTTTTGTGCAAAACTTCACAACCAAGGTATCTAAGTAATGAATGTCCCCTCACAGCCAGTTGTGTATGTTGTTTGAGGCTTGGTAAGCATTTTGGGGTGGGTTTTAACCGGAAACCTTCAGGAAAGCGGAACCTATTTTGGGGTCCCCTATTGTTTCGAACCATACTCAGTTCACCTTCGCGTTTTCAGTGTGAACGAATCTTCTGGGGTTGACGGCTGACGGCTATCATGGGGCGTTCTTTTTGAGGATCTCGAAAGTCAGCTATCCATTTTGCGGGTTCCTCATTTTTGAGACAAGCTCTGCCGTGACCAAAGCACAACGGTCATCTCAGGGGGGATGAAACCCACGGGGTTGATGCTGGCACGCATATGTTCTACAAGCCAAAGATCCGGTCCTTGGAATCTGTTTGTGGGTTCAGAATGCTGACAACTTGCTGGGCCTGCTTGGTCTGCACTTCACAGGCACGAAATGTATCACAATGTCGACAGCATGGGTCCCGCGAGGAAATCCCACCCATTTTGGTCAACGGAACCCTCCCCGCAAAAAGTTTGAAAGGGCCCCTCAAGAAAACCGCACCGGGTTGGGCAAATTGTTCAAAACCCCCGACCCCTGGTTCCCTGTGAAGAGAATCCCCAAATATCGAGGTTAGAACCAGAGAGGTTTAACCTCTGTCGGTTTGTCTCAAACTATGGGGGGAGGGTTCCATAATTGTGTTTGGTTTCCTAAGACAGGAGTCCCCCAAGTTTGAGACCCATGTTTTATCCACCCCCTGAGCCGACCGGCCACTCGAACCAGGACACAGAGTGCCTGCACATGACGCAGGAGCTGGGGGAGGATCTGATCGTGGCCACTTTGAACAAGGACCCGGAAGCCGACTCATTGTGGCGAGTTTGGATAGAACTAGATGGCACAAATTTGGATTTGTGTTTTTTCCATTTACCAGGGCCATCTTGTCCAGAAGGCAACCTGCGGACAGAAGTGAGCGCTGAACCATTCCTGCTGTTCAGGTGGTTCCCCTTGAAGAATTTTCTGTAAACCGAGACACCCAAAATTTTTGGGACTTGTTCCTGGGTTCTTTTTGAGGGTACCCTGTTGGTTTTGGCGAAAAGGACAGCTCTTGGGGGGAGCCTTACCCTCAGAGCCAGCTTCATTTTCAGGGCCCAAGCCGGTCATACACCGGGGATTTGGGCTCCCACTGTAGAAGGACCCCTCTCATGACGAGATGTGGTTTCAAGGTTCCCAACGACAGACGGCACCGCCTGGTTTCCCACCCCGACAATATGCATGTATATCTATATATATGTTTTCGTACCTTGCTCTGTACACCTTGCCTGCATGTGGTGGACAGGGTGGCTCGGCCACTTACCGTCACTTTCGCGGCATTTGTGCTGTCATCGCCCTCCACTAAAATAGTCTTCCCAGCTAGAGGTCCAAACTCTACTTGACTGGGGGCGGCCTCCACTACTTTTAGTCTCCGCGGCGCCTGAGTCGAGCAGAGTTTTTGCATTCCTGGCTTTCGCTGGGGGTGTCAAAACTCTACTCGACTGGGGCCCAGCAGACTAAAAGTAGTGGAGGCCGACCCCGTTCGAGTAGAGTTTCGACCCCGCTGTGCTCTCGCTTTCTCTTACTGAGGGCCAACGTCCGTGGGTTCGAATCTTTTTGCCGCATCCTCGCCCAAGCTTCGCCGCTACCTCGCTTGCTGCAATGAAGCGCCGGCCGTAGCCGCCTTGACTGCCTTCGACTGCAGGGCTGTTCGCCGGAGAATGCACGGCAAGCAGCTGCCGCCCGCCGCATGGCCTCGCCCCTGCTGCGCCCTGATGCCAGAGACCCTCCAGCCATTGTTGCTACTGCCCGCGCAACACTGCGCAAGGCTATGAAAGATGCCGAGATGTGGCAGTTCCTACTTTGTGACTACCATAAGGTCCTCATGTTCTTGCTAAGCCGCAAGACGCGGTGTGAGCAATAGCGACATGTGCTCACGCATTTCCTGGCTCTTTAGACATTGGCTCCATTTCTCCGGGTGTCTGAAACTCAATAACATGCTCCACTCTCGAGGTCGTGCTTGGCCCCTTGTTAGGGCAACCCTGAAAAATGGCATTGTAGAAGTCGAGCGTCGAGCTTGCCTCTTGGAGTTGAGGCGGCTCGTGGGACGGGACGGGTCCGTGCTCTTCTCCCCAGGTTTTGCGAGTCGCTTCCTTTGCGCTTTGCTTCATGTTGCCCAGGGAACAGGTCCGCTCTAGTATATGTACCCCCTACTCCAAATACCCACTTTTTGTTAAGGTATTTTTTGAGCAACCTGGGTTTCCATTTTTTGCCTCCTTTTTTGGTACAGGGTCAACATCATACCCTAAAAAAGGAGGGTATTTGGAGTAGGGGGTATAGATAGGCCCTGACATTCTCCCTCGAGTCAGCTCTCTAGGACTCGTGGTTGGCACCGGTGGTGACGTCTGACTCCCCGGTGGAGCGGGCGCCGTGACGAAAAAGCGGCAAGAGGAAGCTGCGATTTTCCAGGTAGCCTCCCACAGTTGCGATTTGTTGGGAGGGAGAGCCTGTGGGGTCTCGAATTAGTTTTAGTTTGGGTAGTTGGAACCCAGCGCGGGTTTGTTCAATCCAGTCAACATCCACGACTTGTCAAAAAGACGGAGTTGGACCTCAATGGATTTTGAGTTTCTTCTGGTTTCATTTAAACCTAGACTGAGAACGATAATCTGAACATATGTCTTGTTGGAGTACACCCACGCCAAGGTTGATCACGCAAGTCACTTCGAGGCCACCAAAAGGAGCAACCCTCAAGGAGTGTGTTTGCAGAGTTTCTTCCCGTTGGCTACAGAATGGGTCCCTTATTTCTGGCATTTCCCATCGGGATTTGGATAGGCCTTGTGTGAAAAGTCACTCGCGGCGCCACATTCGACAAATGAGGAAAGCTGACTTAGAGGTATGGCCAGTGATCACAAACCAAGGGCCGGCGCCCAAAGATCCCTTACTTGATTTATTGCTCAGTTCATGTGAACCCCCAAAAAAACAAGCAAGCCCAGGAAGAGGGAAAAACATCACCCCAAAAACAGGGGGGATTTTTCATGTTGGCAAGTTGCCGGGCGTCCAACTTGTTCCTAATTATGCTGTGTGTGTGTGTGTGTGTGTGTGTGTGTGTGGTGTGTGTGGTGTGTGTGGTGTGTGTGGTGTGTGTGGTGTGTGTGGTGTGTGTGGTGTGTGTGGTGTGTGTGGTGTGTGTGGTGTGTGTGGTGTGTGTGGTGTGTGTGGTGTGTGTGGTGTGTGTGGTGTGTGTGGTGTGTGTGTGTGTGTGTGTGTGTGGTGTGTGTGGTGTGTGTGGTGTGTGTGGTGTGTGTGGTGTGTGTGGTGTGTGTGTGTGTGTGTGTGTGTGGTGTGTGTGTGTGTGTGTGTGTGTGGTGTGTGGTGTGTGTGGTGTGTGTGGTGTGTGTGGTGTGTGTGGTGTGTGTGTGTGTGTGGTGTGGTGTGTGTGTGTGGTGTGGTGTGGTGTGTGTGGTGTGTGTGGTGTGTGTGGTGTGTGTGGTGTGTGTGGTGTGTGTGGTGTGTGTGTGTGTGTGTGTGGTGTGTGTGGTGTGTGTGGTGTGTGTGGTGTGTGTGTGTGTGTGTGTGTGTGTGTGTGTGTGTGTGTGTGGTGTGTGTGTGTGTGTGTGTGTGTGTGTGTGTGTGTGTGTGTGTGTGGTGTGTGTGTGTGTGTGTGTGTGTGTGGGTGTGTGTGTGTGTGTGTGTGTGTGTGTGTGTGTGTGGTGTGTGTGTGTGTGTGTGGTGTGTGTGTGGTGTGTGGTGTGTGTGTGTGTGTGTGGTGTGTGTGTGTGTGTGGTGTGTGTGTGTGTGTGTGTGTGTGTGTGTGTGTGTGTGTGTGTGTGTGTGTGTGTGTGTGTGTGTGTGTGTGTGTGTGTGTGTGTGTGTGTGTGTGTGTGTGTGTGTGTGTGTGTGTGTGTGTGTGTGTGTGTGTGTGTGTGTGTGTGTGTGTGTGTGTGTGTGTGTGTGTGTGTGTGTGTGTGTGTGTGTGTGTGTGTGTGTGTGTGTGTGTGTGTGTGTGTGTGTGTGTGTGTGTGTGTGTGTGTGTGTGTGTGTGTGTGTGTGTGTGTGTGTGTGTGTGTGTGTGTGTGTGTGTGTGTGTGTGTGTGTGTGTGTGTGTGTGTGTGTGTGTGTGTGTGTGTGTGTGTGTGTGTGTGTGTTTTACTTGGTACCCAGTTTAGGTGGTTTTAAGTGGAAATCGACAGGAAGCCGCACATGGGCAGCCCCAGATGTCCATCTCTTTATCATTGGACCCTTGCTGGAAGCTTCCCAAGGTGCGGCGCTTGATGAGCCGCACTAGCGACGCCTACGGCCGTGCGCTGGCTGCGGCCTTGCACGTGTCTTGGCGAAGAAATGGTCGCGAGCCTTTAAAACCTCGATGTGTTTTTTGGTTTTAATTAAGTGTGAAGTTAACCTATTGTTTTTTGTTTGGAATGTGAAAATGAGTTTTGATATCATTTTGTTCATGTGAAGTTGACCTTTTTCTTGCCTTAAATTTGAAGTTCAGCCCAATCCCCCCAACCCCCCCCCCAAATCCCCTCAAGTTTCGGCCAGGTGTGGGCGCGCGCGGCCCGGACCTTGCCGGCCCTGTGGCAGAACATGGCGAGGGACCCAGAAATCCGGGGTCGGGGACGGGTTTTGGGGGGACCGAAGGGAACCGACGGTGGATCTTTTTGGATGGGGGGAGGAAACGCCAAAGGGCTGGGGTTTTCCTGGAGGGTTCCTCAACATCTTGGTTCAAAGGAATCCAAAAGGAAGCCAACCATTTTTTGGGCGAAATTTCGAGAGACGCCCAGCGCTCGGCGCCGGATTTGTTCGTTTAGCCGAACCTCCAGCTCAATGGTGTAGGGGGTAAATGGGGAGCCGATGTACCTTTACATGTACAGGTACATCTCACTTACTGAGTTCCCAGATTTTAGGAAAGACCATCTTAGTGGTAAATCAGTAAATCAAAGGTTTGAACTTTTTTGACCCATCCACTCAGACTCAGGAAGTGAGACATACATTCAAACATATTCTGTACATAACCCATAAATATGTAGGACACATGTACCTGATATGGTTCCTGGATCCCTTACACCTTTCTGTTCACTCAGCCTGTAGGAGTTTGAGTGCTTCTCAAAATGGTGTTCGACCCCCCTTTCGTTGGTAGTAAAACAAGTCAAAATTGAAAGCAGTTGGCATTTGTTGGGAGAGTGTTTTGAGAAACCCCCCCCCAGAAAGGGATCTACCCCCTACTCCAAATACCCTCCTTTTTTAGGGTATGCTACTTAAAAAAGGAGGTATTTACCATGGAAACCCAGGTTTTTCAAAAAAAACCCTTAAAAAAGTGGGTATTTGGAGTAGGGGGTATAGAAACCTTTATGAACCAATGTAGGTGTGTCCTTTTGGGGACGGAAACCTTGAACCGGGTGGTGTCCCTCCAGGGGAATCAAGGCAAAGCTCCGTTCGGGCTTGTTGGGTGTTGAAGAAGCCCATTTTTCTACGGTTGCCCATTCTTTGCAGGGATCCTTCTTGGCCTGGACTTTTGGGTGAGAAGGAAGTCAATTGTAAAGACACTCGTTTGAGCAACCCATAGGTTAGCCCGGCATCTTGGCATACTGTGGGAGGGTTGCAAAAGCCTTTCGCACCATTTCAGAAGCGCTTGCAATGATTCGATTTCCCCAACGTGAATACCAACGAACAAAGGGATCAACACTGGTTTCAAAGTGGTGCAGAATTTCGCCCATCCACAGCAGTGTGTGGGAAGGCGGTGGATAATGTTCTGCAACAAAGTGGGCCTGGTGATGGTTGATCAATTTGGGGGCACAATTGCAAGCTCTCTAAAGCAGAAAACGAAGCAGTCGACTCATTCGTCCATGTCCGTTGCCAGAAGATCATGTCATCGTGTGTCGAAAAACTTCTCCCGGCGCAGATCGTTGGTTGAGCAACCTTGGGCCCTGTGAAGAAGGGTCCCTGAAGAGTTGTTCAGCTTAGCAATTCAAGGGGCATCTTGCATAGTTGAAGCCATTTTTTGGGTCCAACTCCGATTTTGAGGACAGATGTTCAATTCACGGTTGTTGTTGGGACACATTTTACATTGTTGCTTACTGTGGTTTAGTGGGAAATCCCCACTTAACTGCTAAACAAAAATCCGATTGTTTTGCTCCCCTTCCACCGGTTAACCAAGAAATTCCCCAAGTTTCTCAGGCGTGGCTGGAGCTGAGCCTCTCGCCCTTTTATGGGGGCGACCCGCACTCTGCGGCCTTTGAGCCCCGGCCTGTGGGCGCCAGCATTTTTCAGGCCGAGGGGCAGGGGGGCGCCTTGCGCGGAGTTTCTCAGTTCTTCAGCAGGGCTCCTTAAAAGATCTCCATGTTGCAACCATTTGAAACATGTGGCTTTTTCAACACCAAAAAGGTTGGACACCACCACTTACAAGCTGCAATGTTCAGGTGAATCCATTGCATAAGGATCCCTTTTCAGTGGCCCCAAGTCGTTTTCTTTTTCCCTTTTTTTTGTGTGGCTGCCCCACTAAAAATGGTCCGAGCCCCAAAAAGGGCTCCCTCTCTTTTTTTTTCAGGGTCACTGGACAACTGAGGAATAGCTCCGGACTCAACTTCAGATGTGGCCATGGGGCAAAACCCCAAAAAGTACCCCCAGTGAACATCAACCAATCCAACCACTACAGACTAAAATGGGTGGTGCACCTACCCAAAAATGGTACTATTGGCGTTGACATGTGTTGACCCACGGCCATGTGTTGCTCTTCACTCTTCACTGCTCTTTGCCCGGGTTGGTCTTTTAGTGTGTTGTTTCATTTCCATGATGTAAAAAAAGGTGTTGCGCTCGCATCCCAAAGGTTGCAAAGTGAATGATGCTTGATTTACCCGCAGGGAAATCAAGAGGGGATGGTAATGGGTAGGCCTTTTGTTTTCCCCTGACCCCTTATTAGCCCCCCGACCCCATATTAAATTAGCACCCTTGTTTTTTCCCAGACCCCTGATTGGCACGCTTGTTGGCAGAACTTCGGGGGGGTCGCTCCACGGGTTTTGCTGAAGGGGGTTCAATCGCCTGAGGATGCGTGTAGATTCCGAATGGAATCCATTTGTGACGGTCACCCAAAGAAGGAAGCCTCATGCGGCAGGGGTCCGTATGTGCCCGGTGTTGAACCCGCATGAGTGAGTTTCCTTGAAATATGTATACATATATTATATAAATTCTTGTTTCGGAGCTTTTCTTCCAGCTTGTCCCACAAACATGTGAGATCACGCTCTCTTTTCTGGATCCTCTCTCCAGCAACTTGGTGCGCAGAACCCTTCCTGCCAGGCGCTTCAAGCCGCCACTGCCACCTTCGTTCAGCTGCCGCACGCGGTCCACGCGGTCCACGCTGTCCACGCGGTCCACGCGGTCCACGCGGTCCACGCAGCGGCCGCCCAGATTGCGGCACCTGGCGCCGCGCGGCCAGCGCCGGCTCCCGTCACGCCTGCTGCGCCTGTTGCGCCCGTTGCGCCAGCGCTGCGGCCTCTGCACCCGTCCAGGGTGATCTCAGCGGCCTGAGTTGTACAATATGTATTCTTGCGGCCAAATGGCCAATCGTTTTCCTTGACAGGAATATCATGTTCTAACTGGTGTGTCGAATTGAAGGGTATCCCTGAAGGCGTTGTGTCAAATTGGGAACCAGGCCCGACTGGGGACCCTCATTTGGAGACACACCCGGCTTTTTCTGCGCCATGGTCATACAGAAAGACAACCCCTGTTTAATATAGTGACTGCAGATATGGGACAAACACCACAAAAGCATCAAGACTTATGACTTATGACCATAGCGTGTGTGAGTTCCGGCGGAAAGGCCCGTGTTTTGGCAGTCGTGTGCCAGTTGGCACAGGATGGAAGAGATTCCAGCCCCTTCCGTGACAAATTGTGATGGGGAATGCCATGGCACGCGGACCTTTCTGGGAACTTCAGGGTGTGTCTGCTTGGTTGCACAGTTGCACCCCCAAAAAAGCCGAAGAACATACATGGGTTTCCTGTTGGGTTCCCTTTAAACCAACCCAAACAAGAGGTAGCCCAAAAAGAGACACATCCTTCAGGCTATGGCTTGAATTATTGTACATTGCACGCAAGCACAGTCGGCGTAAAGCGCCGTGACGCGAGCTCCATTGCGACCAAAAGAGAGCGGGCAGCTAAGGAGTAAGGAACCAAAGCCTTGCCTCCCTGGGGAATTTTGATTGCCACTTCACCCCGTTTCGGTTCCAATTTATTGGGTGTCCATTTCTCGGACATTCTCGATGTGAATGAAACAATTTGCCCAGACTCAGCGGGAAAACCCCACCCCACCCTGCACCCCCCAGGGGGATTGAACGCTGGGTATGGATCGCTCAAGTCACTCGCCTCCGACTGAGGCTCGGCTTTTCGAGCAGCCGGGAACTCGGCAAACAGCGGGGTTGCCACTTGATCTGGTGGTACTGCCTGTACGGCCTGTCCGTTTTTGGAGCACCCGTTTTGGGGGGGAACCCACCCCCATAAGACCACCTACTTTTTGGACAGACCCACAACAAACCAGCAGCATCTTGGTAGAGCCATTTTTGTTAATGGGTTTCGGGCACTGAATTCAGGCCAGACACCCAGGGTGCTGCTTCCCTGCTATGGTGTTGGCATGTCTTGGCCTGCTTGAATTCCACCAAACCTAGGTACCGTTTTGTCCATGGTGACTGGGCTGGGGATTTATGCGGGCAATCTATGGAGCTAGATTCAACTCGGGGAGAAACAAACCGGTGTTCTTGTCCGGCCGTGTCCCAGTTGCCCATTCTCCCTTCCTGAGAAATGAAGGGTTGGATCCATTGGCGTTGGGCCTCTCAGCTTGGGGAATGAGCAGGGTTGAGGGAATGACCCCTAGAAACCAGCCAACTGGCTCTTTTCTTCAAGGGAAACCCCTTCCAGTTCATTCCCAACACCCTGACTCGGTGATTCTCTACTGAACAGCAAGGCAACCCCTCTGGCATCGATGACGAAGTCCACATCCCAAGGATGTCACGTTGTCGTTTTCGTGGCCAGTGAAAACCCGATTTGAGCCAGCTCCTTGCAGACGCTTGCAGATGCTTCCTTGTTCCCCCAATACACTCCTTTGCCTGAGAAGGATGGTCATCCATCCTGGTTCCCTCAAACTGCAAGTAAACCTAGATCCGCAAATTGCAGAGGCGCAGGGTGTTCCTTGTCTGCCCGCTGAGAAATTGGCCATCCACCGCAAGAATCCCTACCAAGGGAGCCATGACAACATGGCCCACACCCAGTAGAGTTTGAGCTTCGCAGCTGTACACTGGTCCAGGCAGGGAAATTTCGAAAAGCCACTAGGAGGAGAGAAAGACCAAAGCAAAGTGGTCAAGCACAGCAGTCAGAGAATAATTGCCTTCCACGTGCTCAACGTGAAGCAGGAAATGGGCACCGGCACAATGCTCATATGGTTCCTTGCGAATCGGTGGTTTCAAAAGGAAATCGAAATTCCGGCGATTCCATATCCCTTTGGACCCAAGCCATAGTCTCGCCAGACGGTTCAAACCCGGATGTCTTAGTCTTGTGCTCCTCCATTTGCTTCAAATCATTGTGTATTATCCTTGTTGGTTTTATTTGTTCCAGTGGCCTTGAGCAAATGGAAGTACTGTTTCGGATTTCCCCTAGTTGGTGGTTTGGATTGGTGGCAGTTGAACCCCTGGCTCTTGTCGAAACTCAATGGGAAGGACCCCCTTGACAAATCCAGTTTCACCAATCCAAGCCACCTAATAGAGAGAAAGGTCTGCCTTTGTTGAGGGTATATACACTTTGATGCATTTTGCTTGGCTGTCAGGACTGAACAACTTTTTGCCAACGAATTTGGGTTTTTCGTATTAGCCCACTAAAAGTTAGTCAAATATACACTTTGATGCATTTTGCTTGGCTGTCAGGACTGAACAACTTTTTGCCAACGAATTTGGGTTTTCCGTATTAGCCCACTAAAAGTTAGTCAAATATACACTTTGATGCATTTTGCTTGGCTGTCAGGACTGAACAACTTTTTGCCAACGAATTTGGGTTTTCCGTATTAGCCCACTAAAAGTTAGTCAAATATACACTTTGATGCATTTTGCTTGGCTGTCCTGAACAACTTTTTATTCCGTAGCCCACTAAAAGTTAGTCAAATATACACTTTGATGCATTTTGCTTGGCTGTACTGTCAAAATATACACTTTGATGCATTTTGCTTGGCTTTCAGGACTGAACAACTTTTTGCCAACGAATTTGGGTTTTCCGTAGACCACTAAAAGTTAGTCAAATATACACTTTGATGCATTTTGCTTGGCTGTCAGGACTGAACAACTTTTTGCCAACGATTTGGGTTTTCCGTAGACCAATAAAAGTTAGTCAAATATACACTTTGATGCATTTTGCTTGGCTGTCAGGACTGAACAACTTTTTGCCAACGAATTTGGGTTTTCCGTATTAGCCCACTAAAAGTTAGTCAAATATACACTTTGATGCATTTTGCTTGGCTGTCAGGACTGAACAACTTTTTGCCAACGAATTTGGGTTTTCCGTAGACCACTAAAAGTTGTCAAATATACACTTTGATGCATTTTGCTTGGCTGTCAGGACTGAACAACTTTTTGCCAACGAGTTTGGGTTTTCCGTAGACCAATAAAAGTTCGTCAAATATACACTTTGATGCATTTTGCTTGGCTGTCAGGACTGAACAACTTTTTGCCAACGAATTTGGGTTTTCCGTATTAGCCCACTAAAAGTTAGTCAAATATACACTTTGATGCATTTTGCTTGGCTGTCAGGACTGAACAACTTTTTGCCAACGAATTTGGGTTTTCCGTAGACCACTAAAAGTTTGTCAAATATACACTTTGATGCATTTTGCTTGGCTGTCAGGACTGAACAACTTTTTGCCAACGAGTTTGGGTTTTCCGTAGACCAATAAAAGTTCGTCAAATATACACTTTGATGCATTTTGCTTGGCTGTCAGGACTGAACAACTTTTTGCCAACGAATTTGGGTTTTCCGTATTAGCCCACTAAAAGTTAGTCAAATATACACTTTGATGCATTTTGCTTGGCTGTCAGGACTGAACAACTTTTTGCCAACGATTTGGGTTTTCCGTAGACCACTAAAAGTTAGTCAAATATACACTTTGATGCAGTCAGGACTGAACAACTTTTTGCCAACGAGTTTGGGTTTTACCACTAAAGTTAGTCAATATACACTTGATGCATTTTGCTTGGCTGTCAGGACTGAACAACTTTTTGCCAACGAGTTTGGGTTTTCCGTAGACCACTAAAAGTTAGTCAAATATACACTTTGATGCATTTTGCTTGGCTGTCAGGACTGAACAACTTTTTGCCAACGAGTTTGGGTTTTCCGTAGACCACTAAAAGGTAGTCAAACTTTTAGCACGGCTTCGCAGATGTCGCCACCGAGTACATGTTTCGGGGCCGCAGAGATTTGGATGTCCCCTTTGAGACAACCTCTCACGCGAACTGGACGCTCGACTGGAGGCTCTGCTCCCAACAGCTTCCAGCGGTGCATCGCTGCTGGGAAGCCCGATGCGATTCTCGTTTCGTATCGGCTGAAACGAATGGGTGGCTCGTCGTTTTTAGGTGGACTGCCCAAACTGGCGCAACAGTGTTGCGTTTGGTTTCCCTTTAAACGCCATCTAACAAGCAGACCCACAACAAAAAGACAGTCCCAAATTAAGTTGATTTTTAACTTTCCCCTATTGGTTTAGGGAATCTATCACTAGAAGTGTGCTGTCATTTTGTCCAGGAGACGAAAATGCAAATGGAAGAACAAGTGGATCCTTTTTTTGCGCGGCGTCCCATTGGAGAGGATCCTTCACTTGCTTGTGTTATTCATTTGCGGGGGGGATCAAATAATGCGGACGTGTTGGTTCCATGGGCGGGGGGTTCCCCAAGCACGGGATAGATGACGATGCGATCTTGTGGAGCGTGTCCGAACTCTTGAAGGAATGCTTGACGAAGGTGTTTGATGCTGTTCAGAAAGTCCGTCTCTATCAGCATGTCATGCAAGATGCCGGCTAGCATCGACTAGCCAAGTTCACGCTTCAGAGCGCCTAAGACAGGAGCTCATTTGTTTGGTTCTCAGACTGTTTACTGCTTCCTCCACGCATGCAACACTCTTTAGCTCTCTATCTCTTGAGGCGGACAGTTGCTGGTGCCGACAGGCAATGAACCGCTATCCCAGAGAAAGTAGCTACATGCATTGCTTCAGTAGAATAGTAAGAAATCTTTAACCTATCTACAAAAACCATAATGCTTTGCTGCAAAAGATAATGCCAAAGGGAAAACATATGAAACGCGTGCTCGAGCTGGTTCAATTGGATTCATGTTGACGGTGTTAAATGTCAGGACAAAGGCTGGAGAGCGCTGTAAATCTCAGCCCTTTGTCGTGGTCCCGGGATTGCGGATGAGGATTTGCCTCGGGGGGGACTTTGCCAGAGATGGTAGATTTTGTCTCAAGGGCAAGTAGATATCACAGACAGGAGGGCTCGGCCAATCTCCTTCGTGTTTCGGATTTTAGGTGATCAACTTTGATTGAGTTTCCTTGGTGAGGCTACCCTTGGCTCCTTTCCAGTCATAAGTCCGAAGCTACGGTGGGGTGGGGTTTAATGTACCGACGCTGCCGAAAAACCGCGCTGTGAAAAATCACCGTAAGTTTGAGGGTTTCAACTTGTGGTCATGGTCTACAGGTTTTACCAACCT